GTCAAGGGAGCCGCCGCCGCTGCTGCCGCCGGCCCAACCAAGCTCACAGTTCCTGCAGCTGACCTGCTGGATTCATGGGCCTCCTCCTCTGAACTGCAGTGCTCGGAGAAGATGCCACCTCTCAGGAGATCTCGATCGCCCGCTTCGAAACCGCCTGTGCCTTCTGGGGGGCCAAAAGTTTGATTTCATCGATAGCAGTCATGCGCGAGACCTGTTCCATATCATCATCATCATCATAATCATCATCATCACCAGCAGTCCCCTTACTCCCCCCCCCGATGAACTCTACCATATACATATCTGTGATAATCTAATAATTTTTCCCAGCTTCTGATCTGTTTTGTTCGAACGTGACTCGTCTAGAAAGTGTTCCGGTTACTGTGTAGTAAGGGCGAAAGTAGTTGAGTGGTCGTTCTGTCACCAAAGTCTGTGTATGCCTGAGCAAGAGAATCAGTCACGTGGGTAGGGCTGGGGCCAGCAACAACAACTCTGACGACAGCGAGCATAATTGTCGCGCAATTAGCAAGCCCGCATCTGACATGAACAAGGAAATCGTGGCAATTAGTGAATTGAACCCAAAGTGTCAAGCCATCACCTCACCAGGCGGTGGCTACAGGAGTGGATAATTATAGTACGCACGCGGATGACTGGTACGAGCTATAAATGCCGTGCAATCTGTTCATGTTTCATCCCCATCTGCGCATGACTCAAACTAACCTACCATTGCCTACGATTAAGGATTCCCGACGGAATCCGAAACGTCAGAAAAAGGAAGTTGTTTCAGTGGTTGCGTCTTCTTCTTCTTCTGAACTGCTTCCTGGAACTCGCATATTTACGTCTGTCAAAATCTGTGTAACTAGGCGATCGACCCCAAATCATGGCGAGCAGCTCCGTACTTCACAAACGTAACGGTGACCGTCATTCGCCTTCTCGTACTGCTTTGAGTTGGAGTCGCGCGCAGACCGGAGGACACTATAAGTCGCCAAATAATGAAACCAAAAGATCCACTGCCACGGCGAGAGACATTTGGGGTCGTCTATAGGATGTAGTACAGTTGTGGACAAAGAAACTACATCGTAGGAACCGGAAGACTTCTATGTACACAAATTGCTGAACACGCGGCGGTAATACGGAAAAAATGACGTTAACTTTCAAGTTGCAGCTTACTCGACTAGGTCCGGCTACATATTCAAGTTTGATGAGGTCGAAATTACCGCGAAAGGTGGCAAGCATGTGAGTCGCGAATTACTTGAGCCATGGTTCACGGGTCCCAGTCTAGAAATAAGTGCAACGAACTGCCCAATCCATATTCGATGCTGAGTCTCGATCTGGCCAAATCAAGTCGCAACCTGGGGAAGGCACAGGCCAGCGCGTCGTCTAACCCCAGCACTAGAGAGCCTGATGACCGAGCAGTGATCATGCTCAAGTCCAGCACGGGTGATGAAAGTTTAGCAGGCCACGGTCCGCGCGCCAGTCATCAAGTTATTTGAGCACAAGCGAGGGGAACCATTAATTGTCATAAGTGTGCAGTATCTTGGTGACTGTAACCAATAAATACTGCAGATTCGTGTGTATGAATTACCCGTTCCTACTATTGTCTCTGACGATAGATCCGCAATGAATTTCGAAACGTCAAGCGAATGAACTTCTTGTCCCAGCGATCATATTTACCTATCAGTAACTGGGCATGTTCGAATAAGCAGTTATGGTCTTGATGTAGCCATACAGATTGAGGTGAACACTGAAGTCGCGTTCCTCGCCGTCCTTCTACACAGACAAGAGCATGAGTCATTGGAACGCAAACTATTTCGAAAGAAAACCTTGACGGGACAATAGATCAGTTTTTTTGTCAGTTTTGTTCCTCACAATTTGAAAAAAAGCATTAAGCCGACGGATTGGCAATTAGAGTGCAATACTTTTTTTCTCCTGAGAATGTTGAAGTTGAGCCGGAAGACCTGCAGAAGACACTGCGCGAAAACGGTTATCCAGACAAAATGCAGCCCACTCCCAGAATATTATTGAGCGTGTCACAAAGCCCACTATCGCAACTGCAGAAAGGGGAATATTTATTGCTGTAAATAAGGAAGAGACTCTCCGGATAAATCAAAAATTTACTTATGAATTTTCGAACTGATGATACCAATCTGCCGTCAGGCCAAATAAAAACAAGTAAGAAAGTAACACTTGGCAGTTTACGGCGACCGGACAGCTGGAGCACTGGCGTGTGAGGGATGTGTCATGGTTTGTTCGTGGGCGGGATGCGGGTGGAACAAGTACGGCGCTCTGTGTGTAGAGGTGGATGGTGGGTCGGTTGCTGTCAGGGTGGCTAGGTTAGCGGTCTTTGGTATGCGATTGGGACAGGGGACGGTGAGTCATGATCTAAAGCCATCGTATTGGTCGTTCAATTCAACGTGGCGGTGGATACGACCCGTAGTATGTAGAATACCAAGTCTCGATGATCGCACTCCAATGCGTGTGCGAAGACGAGGGGCAGCGGTCCCGACGACGGACGGCTAATTTATGTTCATCGATAAGAGTGCCCAGGAGTCAACCTGTGTGACCAACATACACGCAAGAGCAAGCTACGCAGGGCATGCGATAAACCCCACTTGGTGGTTGTCCTTTAGGGATGAGATCCTTTATATGTGCTAGCACTGCATCTAATGAGGATGCTGGTTTGCGTGCGATAAGGAAATCGAAGCGATGTAAGTCAGTTGCCTATAAGGCAGGGAATAGAACTTCCTTGTCGTAATTTCTCCGTTATGATTGGAGGTTTGCGATTGTGCTTGGAGTCTGAGACAGTTCTTTACAAAACTAATCGGATATCCGTTTGATCGAAACAGCCGATACAGTTAAGCAACTTATTGAGAGCTCGTCGCTAGTGCAATAATAATGGGCCCGATGGAGTAGAGTTCGGACGCAACTTCTCTTATGAGCAGCGGGTTGTTTGCTGCCATAATTTGGGATAAGCCCCGCATTGGATCCTTTCATATAAACAATCGTGGCTAGATAATTGTCGTCCGGTTTTTGCATTTTAACATCCAGAAACGGTGGCATGCCTCCACTGCATATTCACGGTATAGCTGGAAAGACATAATTCAGCCTCTGATGTAGCACTTCGACTTCGCAGTTCTTTATTGTGACAAATACGTCATCTAAACAATGAAGCCACCTTTCTTACTTAAGGGTTTATATAGCCTCTTCCTCTAATCGGTATTTGTTGAAATCTTTCATATTTAGATTTTTTCATGGAAAAACGACTGTTAAGCAGTGTAGGTGAACCACCTTTGCCTAGAGTCTGAAGTAAGCTCTCCCAGCGAGAATGTAGGAGACACTTAGACTTGCCTTATTCTATTTCTATTGATCAACCGTTGCCTAAATTGCGCCGTCAGATCCCCAGTTTACACACAATGACTAGGATTTCATGCAACAAGAAGGAGGGAGGGGGAGAGGGTACAACTTGGATCCTGATTTAATGGAGGTGCCATAAAATCCACATAAAGTAGGAGCCGCTGCAGCTTGATTCTCCGGCCCGATAAGGTGTCTGATTTATTGCATCAGTTGGCAGCCTCCCAAGTCGCCTTTTAGAGCAACATTATATATTCTAGCGCGTCATATTGTTTATGTTAAGGAATATGCGCTGAAACAGCCAATCTCCCTCCTTCCATGCTCTCCTCCAGACACCAGTCGGCTGTCCGAGCGTTCGTTGGCAGAATGGACAGGCTTACATACCTTCCTTTAAATAACTTATTACCCTTTCGATTAAATTAGTATTGTCGGTCAAACAACCTACTTGTAGGACGTAAGCAGTTAGTCTTATTCACATCAATTTCACTTATTTTTCAAAACGCAATCCTCTAGCCAAACTGCATCAGAAGCGATTTATTCAATAAATCTCCAAGTTAATTTCCCTTCCTTATATTTTCATATTCCATGTTCTCCTCCAGACACCAGTTGACTGTCCGAACATTCGTTAGCAGAATGGAGAGGCTTACCTACTTTCCTTTAGACGACTAGTTTCCTCCCGTTCAAATAGTAATGCCGGTAACACACCCTACTTGTAAAACATAAGTAGTTAGTTTTATTCACAGCAATCCTACTAGCTTCTCAATACGCAATTCTTTGGCCAAACTGCATCAGGGGCGATTTATTGAATAAAGTACCAAGCTAATTTCCACAAGTTATTTTTTACTATTCTGAGAACAAAACTATCAAATATTATATTAAAAATGCATGTCCCTGTCATCCTGAAATGCACGTAAAAATAAAAAGGAAGAAAAAGGTGCCCTTTTGTTTCATTTGCTAGCCTTAAGATACTATTAGGCTTTCAGCCCTCTCAGTATGC